ATTTAGCATTCTAGTATATGGTGATGGTTAATATAGTCTGTAATATCCAGCTATATTTAAATATTGCTGATGGAACTGGTGCCAAGTTTCTACTAGTTAATTTCTTGGCTGATAACTTTAGAAATATGTAACATTTGGAATCAGATTTACATGTAGGGATATAAACATATTTGTTTTGTTGTTATATTGAAATCAATATGAAACCATCTAACAGTTTCCAAGTATCGCCAACGCCCGTTCTTGAACGAAAATGTAAACATTACGCCGTGAACATAAACATAGAAACTGGTCAATTTTTATTGGTTTGTCATAATCATCAAAGTGGCAAGTAAAATGGTCAATGTTGTGTATAATCGTATTCTTCATTCGATCACAATATAACAACGGGAACATTCACTTCCACTTTAATCCATTGAGATCGATCATCGACCATATGAACTCGTTCCAATTACATTACGACAGCTCACTTCGATTGCAGTACTGGTTGATAATCGTAATTTAATAAAATGTTCTGTCTACACCGAGTTAACATTTAATCAAATTAAGTAAAGGATTTAGATATGAAACACAAAACGGATTGATCTTGATACATATGTTACTGTTAGCTATACAGGGACAGTTTATTAGATCCTGGAACAATCATCAATAAATATCTATGTTATTTATTGGAGATCATTTCAAATATGTATTCACATGGCAGATTATTATTAAAACAAAGAGAGAGTGAGAGAGAGAGAGAGAGAGAGAGAGAGAGGTGGTTAAACGTCCACTCGACACAAACTACATGTAGGACATTTCGGGACTAACATATGGTTTAATTTTATTTTCAATAATTCGCTTGCCCGTAGAGGTCTTTAGCAGTGGGAGGAAACCAGAGGACCCGGAAAACTCCCATGGGGTTGGACAGGCGACTCGATCACGGTGGCTAAGTGGGTAAGGTGCTGGCTCGCTAGCCTGGAGGTCGGGTGTTCGATCCCTGCATTGGCCGAGAAAGTTCATCCAGATTTTCCAGCGTGGTTTCCCCTTGTCAGTGATGCAGGACGGAGGGCCTGACAAGGACAGCTGTCTAGTCATTCGGATGAGACGAAAAACCGAGCTCCCGTGTACACATTGGCGTGCACGTAAAAGATCCCCTGACAGTTGGAATTCGATATAAGAGTAGGCCGTAGTGCCGCTGTCCGGGAAAAATTTCCATGATAGCACACTGTATGGCGTATGCCCGTCTTAATTAGCCCAGTTCTGAGCAAAACAGTAGGACGTTAAACCCCATTTCATTTCATTTCTACTCCTTGTCACGTACAACCGGGGATTCGAAACCACGCTTAAATCAAAATAGATTGAGTTATGGTGGGTGGTTAAAGATACCAAATTTTGATGAATTTGTAAATAAACAGTTTAACAGGATTGATTGATCTAATGTTCAGTTTTAATCAGTGATGAAGCAACATTTATAGCTAACATTTTTGACTATTAAACACAAATTAAGTTATATCCCAACAATGGCTCTATTTGTAGATGAAAACCATTTTTATTTTTTTTACAGTAGACAGATTATGATACAGTTTATTACCACTCAAAAACATTTACACAGGTGATATTTAGCAATATCTGTAGCTATATCTTCTATACTTCCACAAATGACATTTCAAATTCACTGATTTCTTGTTTTTTCTCTTATTCATCATAAAATCACATTATTATCTCTTTCTCATATCTAGAAAGACTTGTACAAGATTATGTATTTATACCTATTGTAGATATCATGGTTTGGTATTAATAAACTGGTTTACTGCATAAAATTACATATCAATATGGGACATTAGTAAATTATAAAGCAAAGGGACAAACACCGAGCACCATGGCTGTGAGTCTTCACCCTCCTTGTAATACTTATAGCTATGGTCAGAGGCATGTTCCCCAAGATTCAAAGCCCAGCTTAACCGGAGCTGACTAGAATCGAGGGTCCTCTAACGCGTGATCGTTACTGCAGTGAGGGCCTGTGGGAAAGCTACTAAGAAATCGCCTACGTCATGGGTTTAGACCAATCACAGAGAAGCCTAGATTGATCACAGAGTGAAACTTCACAGAGAAGGTTGAGGGATAGCTCAGTCTCCACCCTCGCGTCGCTGGATCGATTACTGTGAAATTTTAATCTGCAATTTAATTTTTTTTTTTTTTTGCCATGAACCACGGGGCCCCTTGTTTTAATTCTATGTTTTTTCAGGTGCTCTCTTAAGAAATTTAAGGCTTCAGTTTAATAGGAAATGAAAATGAAATGGCTTCATTTTTTCTTCGATTTTGATGTATTTTGAAATTGGTGTGTTTGGATCAATATTCAATTTAAATGAATTGTCAAAGGCGAGATCATCTTTTTTAAAATCGTAATTCAATGCTACATTTCATTTGAAAACGTGTTTTACCATGACAAGAGATAGTGTGTCAATCATAAACTACCATAGTTTGAACGCCCCCACAATGTTACAACCTATTTAAATTATCCAATGAAGAGTGTCGATACCGGAATATTAACAAGAACATTCGTTTGTTTTAGAACATGATGTGAAATTGCCAATTTAAAATAAACCATTATGAAAACTATGTGATTGATAGAAAAAAATTGCATCTTCTCCAATCATATTAGTCGAAAATTTGTCGTCAAATTGACAGTATAAATTTGGCAGGGTAATATTAAATATCGTAGAATAACAAAGTATTTAGAAACCTGTCACTGGAAGATGAGGTCAATCCAACGTTTTTTTTCCTATAATGTCCAATATTCACTCCAGAGGATTCAGGAACATCTTCTACATAAGGACCGGATTATAAATTAATACCCTGAACATAAAAACATCCAATCTTAAGTGAAGAGAGGGATCGTGCTTAACTAGTAGTAACTACATACAAAGCAATAATGCTTTCCTGACAGTATTCTAGTCTAATTTTCTCCTATTTCTGAATATTTGTTTTCTAAATGTTTAAAATATTATGAAATTTATCCTCAAGGGACTTTTCTATTGAATTTGGAATTATTCTGGCAGAACTTGTTATTGAGTAGGAAAAACTGAGGGGATATGACACAATTAATACTGACAGGTTATTGATCCATCAATTATTGTATATCGTAGAGATACTGGTACATATAATATCCACATCTATACACTGTTAAAATATACACAAGTTATTTATATAGACAATTTGAAAAACAGAACCAATAAAACAATATTGAAATAGTTATATGTATAGTAAATATTATATATACCGGTATGCACTTTAAAAGCAAGGTATGTTTGAATTATGCTATTTGACATTTGTTCCCCCAGAGCACAAAGCAAATCAATAATTCATTTTGACTGTGACATATGCATATATTTGTTCATTTTCTCTTCAATCTTAGGTCTCCTATATGACAAAATGAATGTCAAAAGACTTTTTCTTCTTTTTGATGAATTGCCATGATTGGTGTATCTTTAAAATGGGTTATAATATTTAAGGTATGATACAAATCACTATTATGAAATAAAAAGAATTTATTTTAAAGCAGGATTTATTTCAGAAAAGGAACTCTTTTAACATCTGCACAATCCCCTGATTCAAATAAAGAAATGAAATGAAATGGGGTTTTAACATTCTACTGTTCTGTTCCTAACCTGGGCTAATAAAGACGGGCATACGCCATACAGTGTGCTATGAGGGAAATTTTTGCCCAGGCAGCGGCACTCAGCCTACTCTTATATCGAATTCCAACTGCCAAGGGATCTTTTACGTGCACGCCAATGTTTACACGGGACCTCAGTTTTTTCGTCCCATCCGAACGACTAGACAGCTGTCCTTGTCAGGCCCTCCGTCCTGCATCACTGACAAGGGGAAACCACGCCGGAAAATCTGGATGAACTTTCTCGGCCAATGCAGGGATCGAACACCCAACCTCCAGGCTAGGGAGCCAGCGTCTTACCCACTTAGCCATGTGATTCCCCATTCAAATAAAGCCTACATTTCCCAAGCACAGAAGTCTTTCATTAAGAACTATTTCAATTCAGCGCAAATTTTAAAAGAAAATCTGAAGAAAGAAAAGATTCCCCACAACATAATGCAATCACCAAGATTGTAAAATAAATGATGTGATTACTCCCAAGTGACGAGTTTACTGGGCCCCATCTCCACGACTATTTTATAATCAATTCTTATTAGACTGAAGTCTTAGTTCATTAATTGCTTCAGACCGCCGTTGGTGAACCTAGAATCGAGTTATGTTATAATAAGCCCTAAATAACTACCTAGATCATACTGGCTTATATATCTTCTCCATATAATAAGCTTCCAAGATCAAAATACTTCAGACTGAGAGCTTAAATGATTTTACAAGTCTGCTAATTATAAAACATGTGGAGATAATAATGAAATGGTAAGGAGAACAGAGATATATGTACAAAACCAATATATAAAGTTACTCCTACCTCGAACCGATTAGTCTGTAGCCAGATAAAAAAATCAGGAACTAATGACATTTCAGACAATGTTGTTAAAGAATGCTGTATGGTAATGTGTTTCATAAATTGGACAAAGATTTGTTTATTTTTTTATGACACCATTTGTGGATAGACAATTCATATGCTGATAATCAAATGAAATGAAATGAAATGGAATGGGGTTTAACGTGTTACTGTTCTGCTTCTATACTGGGCTAATGAAGATGAGCATCATGTCATACCGTGTGCTATGAGGGAAAAGATCCCTTGGCAGTTGGAATTCGATATAAGAGTAGGCACCTACTCTTATATCAAATTCCAACTGCCAAGGGATCTTTTCCGTGTATGCCAATGTATACACGGGACCTCGGTTTTTCGTCACATCCGAACGACTAGACTGCTGTCCTTGTCAGGCTCTCCGTTCTGCACCAGCACTGACAAAGGGACACCATGTCGGAAAATCCCGATGAACTTTCTCGACAAAGGCAGGCGACCTCCAGACTACTGATAAACAAAACATAAAGATGATTATACCTTTAACTCTTGGCATCTAGTTTGTGGAACTTCATCTTCATTGTTAACTCCTTTCTTAGTATCAGTATTATCCATGAGTTGTGTTTCACTCTGTTTTGCAGTGTCTATATTTTTTGTCGAACTGGAATCTATTTCTTCCTTATTTTCATCAACCCGAGGGATTTTTTCTTCGGGTTTAATCTTAGTATTTGTTTCGTCGTTTTCACTAGAATTACCACCTTGTCCCTGACCGGTTGTACTTTCTACAACAGCATTTTTTAGTTTTTGTAAATTATTCCCCATATTTATAATTGCTATCTGCTAACAAAATGTTGCTTATACCAGCGGGAAGCATAAACCAAGCTTGATATGTCAATAATATATAAATTCTGATGAAAATGTCCAAAACGCATTGAAAACACTCTTGACAGCCTGAAACAATGAATTTACTGAATATTTAAAATCATAAAATGTTCAACAGTGCATAAAAAAACTGAGCCGATCTGCTAATGCATTAAACAAATCTGAACCAAATAACTCAGGTATAACAGATATACGACTATCTTTGTTTATGTACAGAAATATGACTAGACAAGCAGAAAAAGAAAACCTGACCTACAAATTCACAACAATGATAGGTAAAGCTTATAAATAACTGTTGGCTCAAGGTGAAAACTGTTTCTTAATTATCACTATATACTTCCTATCTCATTAAAACATCTCTCACAACTTCTTATGATAGAATCAGTTCGTTCACATTAAAGAAATGGCGGCTTGGATCTAAGATGTTTTTCAACAAATATTGATCACTTAAAAGATTGCCACACTTTATTTGATCAACTATTCCTTCAACTTGCATCAGTCTGCTTAAATAAAATACAGCTTTACTATCCAAGACATTCTCAAGCAATCTGCATTACATCTGTACCCAATGCAGCCGTTTATCATCTTGTCCCAAAATCAACACAAAACTCTTGTAAGTACCTTAGAAATAGATGTTAAAACTGTTCATAAAATTCTTGGCGAAAATCTAAAACATTCTTTCTTAATGAAATAGAATGCCATCACACTTAAGCTGTTACAAGAAAAAGTCTAGTGCTACAAAGTACAATCCAAGCTGTACAAATAAATCAACCTTTAATTTAATTAATAATAGCCGCAAGTGTGGCTGTCTACACATAATATTGCCTTTATTAATTATTAATAACAACGTATAATGGTCCATTCAAACAACCTTAATAAACATTGATGTCCATCTGTGCCAGATTCACAATATTCCAGTACACAGAAATGAAAACTCTTCATTTGCACATTATGAAAATTGGAAAGCAGTGCTAGATAGATGTCTCACCTTGAGAAAACCACATCCTCACTATTTGTCACAACTGATATATAGAGGCTAAACTATAGTGACTATAGCTCATTAGGAATGTGTGATCCTTTAAGTTTAATAATGGCAATATCATGACCACTATGTCGAAAGCCATCGGCATAACTCTATAATTACTCGTCTTAGACTTAATAAGATCAGAAACAGCTGCCCCTAGAAATATGACATCTACATCATAAATAATTAGAATGAATACTCGTAATCTTTTCTGTCATCGAACAGGCACAGAAAGTGAACTACCTGTCTAAAACATTTTAGTTTCGATAAAATTATTTATTATAAAATATTTTTAGAACAAGAACTGAATGTTTGTAATTGTCAGACGTAGCCTGCGACATATTATGGACTTTTGTGTCCTTCACTAGATCATGGCAGACCCTCCAAAAGCCATGTTTGACCCAAGGCTAAATTGTCTGATTACTGTGACAAATATTTGTCAATGTCACATCTTTTTTTTTAGTCTACATGCATACTTGTTCTGCAATCACTTAAAACTTAAAAGCAAGTTCAACCTGTTTTTTATATTTTTTTAAATTCAAGAAATTTTATTGAAGTAAAGTAAAACTAATTTAAATCAAACCTATGCATATTCAAATTAAACAACCACCCTTTCAATGTAATATATATGAATGGAAATAGGTCCTGGTTGGAACATTCTAAAGATAGCCACAATTTACCTGCCCCTAGTAAATCAATAAATACACTTAATTCCTGTTTAACAACCAAATAATGGTTAAATGATTGTATGGTATATATAAACCTGGTTTCATTTATTACTACTGACAGCAGTAAATAATATGTCCAGTTGAGTTAAATAAACTAGGACAACTATCATTAATGGTAATTATATACCACAAATAAATTTTACAAAGTAGATCAGATTTAACAAGGTTGACAAATTCTACAATTCAAGTCCAAACCATATACAATATTAAACAACGATTTCAATTTTTATCCAATTTCTACTCAAAACCATATGCAATATTAAACAACGATTTCAATTTTTATCCAATTTCTGCTCCAAACCAAATGCACTATTACTAACGATATCAATTTTCATCCAATTTCTACTCCAAACCATATGCAATATTAAACAACGATTACAATTTTTATCCATTACATTAACGATTTAAACTTTTATCCAGTTTTTATTAAATCTGGCATTACGCCACAACCTCAAGTTATTTTTTTTTCTAATAAGGTTATATTATATTGACAAACAGTCATATTTGTAACAGAATATCTTTAAAATAATTCACGTCTGCTTTTGCTGTAAAAAATCTATTTTCTACTGGTGTCTACATTTTAAGGGAGTGAGATCAAGTAAACATGTTTTATTGAATAGAACGGAAAACGTGCTCTGCCAACATGGCTAACACTAGAAACAGACCAATAAATCTATTCTATTTACATCCAACGATTGAACTTCTAAAACCTTCACAGATACACATTATTCTTATAAAATAGCAGTCGACAAAAATATCATAAATTACACAAAAACTCATACCTTCTAATAATTGAATTAACAATTTTGCCCTCGAAAGTCCAAAAATAAACTAAACCTTCATTGGCAACCTACTAAAGTGAACTGCTTAACACACTCACTGTCAAACACACTTATTCAATAACAAGCCTTAAAACACTTATTCAATAAGAAGTCTTACTGTCAGTTGATAGATGTTTATTGCAGATGGCACCACTTGCAGTGTGTGTGTGTGTGTATATATATAATATGTGAACACAGCACACACAGGGATATGTCACAGTAAACTACAAGCACACCGTTGATAATTCACCAACAATCATCAACTGTAGAATATATATGGCTCAACATTCTATACCGTATGTACTACAGATCCATCCAAATAGCAAGAAAACAACTTAATTTCAGCAATGGCTGACACATACAACTGTTGCAAGCTCCTGGCTGTTCAGTAAGCAAGACAGTGATTCTGCAAAAAAAATCAATAGCCATCCCAGAATAATTGTGAATACTATAATTCAGTGATGTGAATTACCAGTGACTGTTTTCTCACACATGAATTGCTAATCAGACATGCAGATGATCACCATGGTATTATTGATGTCCCTACATAATATTCAGGTACAAAAAAAATTTGATTGCAAAAATACCAGATAATTTCTACTCCCTTAAACTCGATCTATTGGAAAACACTAGCCGAACAAGTACTTACACAGGTACCTCCAAGTACAAACAATGTTTCTCCTTAAAGCATAATGCCATTTGGGTTAAGAACTCAATCAAATTGAATTGCCTGTCATAAGGCTTAAAACAGACAGTCAATACAAGAGAAACACTACAGAGAGAGAGAGGAAAATCAATTAATACATGTATGACTTATTTATTGATTTTATTGACTTCAATTTTATATCCAAGACAAGACATAATACTACTGGAGAATCTAGACTATACTGTACATATATTAGTCCAGATTACCATGCCTAAACCTATAGAATAAGCAAATTAATGGAAAACGATTTGAATTCACTTACTGTTGACAAAGATAACATTTTATTCTATTTTCTTTCAAGCTAAGCTATGAAAGCAGAACAAAAGACAAATGACCGACAAATGAACTCTTTCAATACTTATCTGATCATTTTTAACTAGGACAAATAAGAAATAATTTAAAGGAGTCAATGAGTTAATAATGAGTTCTCAGAAACCATTATTCTATTAAGGGTGGATTTTGGGTGCCTTAGCCTATAGAATAAGAGTAAATTACTGGAAAAAAATTTGAATTCACTTACTGTTGACAAAGGAAACATTTTATTCTATTTTGTTTAAAGCTGAAGTATGAAAGCATAACAAAAGACAAAATGACCGATATATGAACTCTTTCAATACTGATCTGATCATTATTAAAGCTGCAATTTCATGTTATATTTTTAAAATTTATTAAAATAAAGCCTTAAAATAGATGGTATCCATAAACCGTCCTACCTTGTTAAAGAATAATCCTATTAATCTTATAATTCACTATTGCCAGCTGAGAAAATGACAAAAATATCATTTTCAACTTTAAATTCCAACGTTTGAAGGTAGCTAATGCATGGAGGCAATAGGAAAGCAAGGGAGGTAATTGTGTTATTATTTCCTGTGTCAATGATTTTTAAGGGTGGGAAATAATGCCCATGGTCGTATAATAGTGAGTTGATAACCTATTGAGCAAAAGACATAGAAATAATTATGTTTTGACTTTCTTAGAAAATATGAAATTATCGCTTTAACTAGGACAAATCAGAAAAATTTAAAGGAGTCAAGAAGTTAATAATACATTAGTTACTTTTGTAGGTAATGGGATAATTTAAAAAAAAAAAAAAGAGCTAAAAACTTATCAAGAGAAACAACTCATTAAGTAGTTATCTGAATTTAAAATTTGATTGGCTACCTGAGTTTTTCCTAAAGTTTGTTACACAAAACATGTAGGCCTAAAGATAATCAAATGATGAATTTAGCTGTTGGAAGTTATTGGAAATTGTTGTTTATTAATTTCAACTTAATTGCCACTAGATGGTCCACAAGAGTTTAAAAAGATTATCCAGGGCATTATTCTATTAAGGCTGGATTTTGGAGGCTAGAGGATAGGCAATCTGATTAATATACAGATTTATATTTCGTTCCGTTTTTTTATACTTTCGATGGCCTACACTACATGAAGATCTGACCAGTTTTACTGAAAGGTCGCGTGGGGGGGTCGTACATGAGGCTTTTGACCCTATGACGTCAGACATTGATTAATCAATCGGTTTTCCATCTAAAATTCACTATAGTCAAACTTGCCAACAGTTATGATTTTATTTCAGGGTTGTATAAACGGACAATATTTATGTGCTCTGGGCAACCCAAGTTCTCACTCCATACTAAAGATCAAGCTTTGTTTAACAATTCAATTTACCTTATGTTCAAAAAGATAGCACGTTCAAACAAGGTGTGGAAGGTTTTTCATTATTTCCATCGAAGCTCATTTGCAATGACTAATGTGTCATGGTAATTTATTAAGACTATAGCCCAACTAATCCAGACTATTTTTTTAATACATGGCTGGTGGAATTACTGTCAGACCCATGCTTAAAAAAAAATAAAGTGTTTTTGTCTTGTACGAACAAAATACATCATTGTGGTTATTAAAATCTTATCATAAGGTTTGAAATCGCCACAGGTAAAATTGACTTTATATTTATACATAGTGTTTAAGGTCACGAGATGAAGAGGTTTAGAATTACTTTTGAAGTTATTGCCCTTGATAACTTTTTAAACTCTTGTGGACCCTCTAGTGGCAAAAGATATTTTCCAATTAAGTTGAAATTAACAAACAACTCTGGTCGGCAATCATATTTTAAATATTCCAGAAAATTACATAATGGGTTGTTACTCTTGATAAGTTTTTAGTGTTTTTTTTTAATTCTCCCATTACCTACAAAAGAATAAATATGTGTAAAACGCTTGTCGACTTCTGAGATGTCTTAGCTGCTGTACCACAGGGGTAAACATATATTCAGGTGCCATAACTCTGGCAGTAATTATCGGAAATCAATAGGCTTCATCGTCTCATGATCTTAAACACTGTATAAATTTAAAGTCAGTCGGATATTAACTTTAGCTTCTAGAGCGTCCACAAGCAATTGTGGACACTGGACGGACCTGGTCTACGAAAATATACAACCCCATTTCAAACTGCGCGTATCACAATGTAAGGTGCTATATAACCATTAGTTCTATGAATGGTATGTTCATATTGACTTTTTCTTTATTTGTCATCATTCTATTTGCACAATTAAATGAATCTCTCTCTTTTGTGTTAATATGTCATCAACTCTGAAGTCTGGATTGGCTCCTTTAAAGATACATTGTCCCGTAAGTATTGATCAGGTAGTTATTTCCAATAAAAGTATCACAAGTAGCTAGGTATATATGGAAAGTGTAGACACCCAATCTTACTAGAAAAATACTGGATTCCCCGAAAAACACTCATGGGACAAGCACTGGGCAAAAGGTCAGGGTATCACTAACTGTCAACCTGACTGTTGTCTGCCAGCTTCTTCTGTGCTAGCTTGACTGAGAGAGCGGTTGTTATTTCTGGATGAAATGGTTGGGAGTTTTTGGAAACATTGAGGGGTGTCAACATACAAAAGACAGCGGAAAAAGAAGTTGAAAGAAAATATTTAAGTATTTACGTAAATGGACAATAAATAATGAAAAATACATTCTGAAAAATGGACCCTCCCTCAAAGAAACAGGTGACAGACATGGTCTCATATCAGTTTATTTATAGCTTGAGGTGTCTCCCCACATATACAAAAGTTTGAGAGGGATTTGAAACAAATTTTTTATAGACTAATTAGCTTGAATATGTTTTTAGTTCAAATATATCATTAAATCACACAGTTTGCATGTGGAAAAGTATCTTTAACCATAGATGTCCTTTCATGGATACAAATTTTGTTTGTATCATTATATATTAGACAGCACTGAATATATATATATATATATATATATATATATATATATATATATATATATATATAAATCATATAATCCTTGAGTGGCAATTAGTGATTGAGCACATTAAAAAACACAACACAATTTATATGGAATACAATCACTGGTTTATACACATATAGCACGACGTTTCAACAAGTATTCTCTTATCGTTATCAGATATATGTGTATAAAACAGTGATTGTATTCCCCATAAATCGGGTTGTGCTTTTTATATAAATCATGTTTAATCAAATACATGATGGCTTAATTTTTACAATACAGCTTGCTTTTATTTTCTACAATCGCTTCTCAGGGTATCTTTGTTTTCAATGTAACAGTTTCCACAGTTTATATTTAATACTTGATTGGTAATATACAAAAGTCATAAATAATTCATAACCTAGTTATAGTCTCATTCTTCCGTGAAGAGAGTTTTCGTCTCGACTGATAAAAGGTCATTTTCCTCATGATTGCTTCTTCTTCATTACCAAAGTGAAGTGAAGAGTGATAGCCTAGATAATCTCATCAAATTTTCACTGATAAATTCTTACAATTGACTGTATACCATTGAATAATTTCAAGTTCCTTCCAATCGATTAATTCCTGGAGGAAAAAACAGTGATACATTGAAATATCTAATTTGTGAGAAAAGTTTACGGATCGAAGAAAATGCTATAATACATTTATTTCTGGATTAATTGTTTTAAAGTAGCTAAGTCTCTAACTCAATATCATCCAAAATCTTCGACATTGAAAACATGATTTATTTGTCGGTTTAAATCAACACTGATGTTGTGATCTTACCGGGAAAAGATGGCCTTCTGATATCCAATATTTAAGACAAAATAAACATTTTACAATTGGTACACGAATCGTGTACCATAATGCGTTTCAGCGCTATTTGTAATAAGGGGCTAGAAAAACGAGGCTAGGCATATTCCACAAGTCATGTCAAACGGTGACGCTATATTCTTATCTGGAGAGCAACCCCAATAAATAATATCGGCGTAGACTGGAATAACCAGACGCTAGAGATTGAAATTCGATGGAGAATACTGGCGTATTTCGTCGAATCTAACTGATTAAAAATTACAGTAAAAACAGAAA